CGCCAGGACGCCCCCAAGACGTCCAAGCAGGACTCCAAGAAGCTCTCAAGAGACATACGAAGAGATTCCGAGAGGCATGCAGGAGGCCTCTGGCCCTTCAGCTCACCTCCTCCTCCTCTTCCTCCTCCTCCTTCTCCTATTCCTCATCCGCCTATTCCTCCTCCCTCCTCCCTCCGCCCCCCCCTCTCCCTCTCCCTCATCCTTCTCCTCCTCCTCCTCCTCCTCCTCCTCCTCGTCCTCCCCCTCCTCCTGTATGACGGCTCAATCCCTTTATTCCACTGCGTGCTCCTCCGTATCCGGGATCAGGGCAACTCGCCTGGACATCGTTTCTGCATGAGCTCGTGGAGTTACGCGAAGCGCCTAGACTAAGATCTTGGCATCTGCGGGCCTAGGGGGTCGGCGGCGTGGCGTAAGCTAGTGAAACATATGTCCAAGAATTCTCGCCGACACCACAGGCAGTGGAAGGCAAGAAACTGAAGCACGCGGGCATCATTACAGACCCTCCGCACAAATCTTTCCGTCTTGCTCTGTCTGACCTGGCCAGCACCATCTTCTGAAGTAGCCTCACGGGACGAGAACTCGGAGAGGGTCGATCCCAGCCTTGGTTAAGTTTCGGCCGAACCTCTCCATGAATGACCCCCGAGCTGTGACCCACGCGTGGCTGGCGAACTCCCACTCGTGGAAGTCAGGCCCTGCTTGCGAGCACTGCATGGCCTGCTCATCGTCACCGAGCGCGAGAACCAGCTAAGCCCAAAAGGGAGAGGCGGTTAGGCTCTCCTCGCTCCCGCCATCTGTGTTCGCCAGCGGTGCTAGGTGCCCATCGGCGCCTCCCAGGCCACTTTCTCTGGCGCTTGCCGAGGAGAAGTGCAAATCTCCCAGGCCAGAGAACGACCTCTGGCCCCTCCTCCTGCTCGGGCGCGGCCATATCTGCGAACGCACGGATCAATGTAATGCATCCGTGGACCTCTTGATCTTTGCCACATGAGGAACGAAATCCAAGTGAACAGGGCGCGCCGAAGTTGAATTGAACCCCAACTCCGCGGGAACAGCCCCCCTCGGTGCATCAATCTTTGACTGGGGAGGGAAGACTGTTGGTTGGCGGGGGGGCAGGCGGCAAGCAGCAAACATGGGGCGGGGGCGCTCGGCGTCGGTTCCAGACATCCCCCAATGCAATCGGACCCAGGACTGAAGAACATCCCACAAGAACACGAGGCCATCCGCCAGCCAAAACAACCCAAACCATACGACCACTCGAGAATCTCATCCCCCATGATGCCCCCAAAACATCCCACAAACTGTTTGTTTTTTGCGTCGGCGGCTAGGCAGAGTAACTGCGCTGGCGGAGAGCTAACTAAACGGGGGTGCCGTTGTAGCGAAGCGCGCCACCATGCAGGAGAAGGGGGCAGGGCAGAGGAAGCGGCCGAAGGAGGGGGCGGGAAGGGAGCGAGGCCTCTCAGGGGGGCGGGTCACGCCCTGAGCGCGTGGAACATCGCACAAACACGAAGAACAATAGGTTACCCTCCACGAGCCGACCTCGATCTTGTACCTCGGTCCGGCTGTCTGATTTGTTGTTCAATCCGCGACCCCCCAGCAGCTCCCGACCCCTGCCCCTGGGGGTAGCGCCTCGCCCCGTGGATCCCACGCTGGTGGCCCCGAGGCCCGAAAGACGGGCCCCAGAGGTCGAGATCGAGGGGCGCGGCCCAGATCGAACAAATCTTATCGTCGCTGGCGGCCCGCTCAAGCCGCCGCGTTAGGCCGCTATGCAATCTCGCGTAGGGCCCGCTCTTGATCGTGGAAAAAACGCAGCGTGCCGCGCTCGCGCCCCGCGCAAGCTGCGGCGCAAGGCCGCTGTGCCATCTCGCGCGAGGCCCGCTTTTGAGAGCCGCTCGTGTGGTCGCCCAGCTTCCCCGAGCTGTTTCGGGGCCCCTGCCGTCGAGGCGGGGCCCAGAGATCCGGGGTTCCCAGCCCCAGCTCTCATTGGCCATGCCGCGGAGAACCCACGAGCTGGCCTGGCAGGGCCGCCCTGCCGCACCGCCCGAGCGGCAGCGGCCAGGCCGCCCGGCGCAGCGAGAGAGGGTCGGGGGGGCGATCAGCACCGCCATCGGCTCGCGAGGCTCTGGCCGGAGACTCCGGACCCTCTGGCGCCAACTTGAGCGGACAAGAACGCAGAGCGCCGCGTTTGTCCGTTAGGCTCGAACGTAAACCAACAAAAAGAAGTGGGCGACGACAAGGCGGCCGATGACGAGGATGACGGCGTGGATGACGGGGAGAGCAGCGAAGCTCTGGCCGGAGAGTCTGGACCTTCTGGCGCCAATCCGCCGGTGCCCGTGGTGCCGCGCAGTCGCCAGGCATTCGAATGCAACTGTCGACCTCTTGACTTGTGCCCTGGCAAATGTTGAGCTTGTCTGGACGAGGCGCACCGAAAGTAAACTGAAGCCCAACTCCACAAGAACGGCCCCTCGGTGTACCAGCTTTTGACGACAAGAGGGGGGGGGGCCCGTGCTGGGTGCGGGCGGCAAGCAATAAAACGCAAACTAGAAAACGGACAACGGAAAACGGAAACCGGAAAACGGAAAACGGAACCCGGAAACCGGAAAGCGAAAAATGGAAATTGGAAAACGGAAAACGGAAAACGGAACTTCGTTTTTTGCCCAAGCCGGGAACCGGAAAACGGAAAGCGGAAAACGGAAACTGGAAAGCGGAAGCCGGAAACCAGAAAACGGAAACCGGAAAACGGAAAACGGAAAACGGAATTTGGTTTTTTGCGAAAACCGGAAAACGGAAACCAAAGACCGGAAAACGGAAACCGGAAAACGGAAAACCGGAAACCAGAAAACGGAAAACGGAAACCGGAAAACGGAAAACGGAACTTCGTTTATTGCCCAAACCGGAAAACTGAAAACGGAAACCGGAAACCGGAAAACGGAAAACAGAAACCGGAAACCGGAAAACGGAAACCCGAAAAAAGGAAAACGGAAAACGCACCTTCGCTTTCTGCCCAGACCGGAAACCGGAAAACGGAAACCATGGAACGGAAACCGGAAACCGGAAAACGGAAAACGGAAAACGGATTTTCGTTTTCTGTTCCAGGGTTCTGTTTTCCGTTTCCGTTCCGGTCCGGCGCGCCTGCTGACCGGAATCATATGCGGTTGTGTTCTGGTGCACATGGTTTTTGGTGCATGCGCGCCGTCGTGTTTTGCTCGGGTTTGGCGCGCGCAGCAATGTCGCGCCCGGATTGCCCTGACATCGTCGCCTCCATCGGGGCCGGCTGGGGCCTGCGGCGTCGGTTGGCCCTCCCCCTGGAGGGCCTGCGCCGTTGTCAGACAAGCGGCGCGCGGGTGGACTCGGGCCCAGATGGCCTCTAACACGCGCCGAGACAGTCCGCGCCTCCATTGAACGGCTTGGGGAGGCCGCAACTCGTTCACTGACCCCCCAGAAAGCAACATGATTATTTGACAAACGAGTTGCAAAAAGAAGGAATTGCCATGATGATAACGAGGGGGACGCGCGGGGATGGCGACGGCGATGACGAGCTGGGGAAGTTGATACGGTTGCTAGGTGCACTGCCAAGCTCACCATGTTGCGAGGTCACAAGTCAGTGCCCCCGGCGGCCAGAAACGGTATATCTGTATTTGTGTCGTGCTCCCAGATATCGTGATTCACATCGCCGGCTCCAAAACCGACCTATACTATGTCGCGTCGGCCCGCAACCCGTGCGCCACCCGCGCCAGCTTCTGCCCCGCGCAGGCGATGGCGGAGAGGCGCACTTCCCGGAGCGTTACCGGTGGAGGCCGCTGCTCAGGCGGAGCTCTGGCGACCAGACCACCCGCACGGAAATTCAGCACTTTCTCGTGGTCGCGGGCCTGGCGAATGGCCTCGGGCGCGGGGGCGGCGGGCAGCTGCGTCCGCCGCATTGGAGACGCGACCGCCTTCTACCACGTCGCCAGCGACGTGGGTTTCGTGCGTGGCGTCGGCAGGTGGTTGGGCGACTCGTTCCACGGGCAATTGCGGGAGTCGCACGAGCCCATGAAAGGGGGGTCCGAGCGCGTGGCGTCAGACCGCTCGGAGGTGACGACGCCGGCGACCAAGGATGCCTGAGGCGAGGACGGCAGGTGAAGCGCCGAGCGAGCATCCTTTGGAGGCCGCCGCTGTTGCGCCGGCAGACGCACCAGGCGTGCCGGGCGAGCGGTGACCGTGGAGGTTGGTATGGAGACAAGCTGCTTCCGCCGCGCCGTGGGAGCGCGCGGCGCTGGGGTGGACACCAGCGCCCTTCAACCCTCAGCCGCAGATGCCGCTGCCAGTGTCAGCGTCGGGGTCGCTTGCAACCAGCCTTTAAATTTCGTGGAGGTAGCGGCGGGGCCCGACGCCTGGCGGACAGTCGCCAGCGTCGCAGCTCAAAGAGATAGCGATGGCGCGCCGACGCGCAAAATCAACATTTTGCTTCTGTTCCTCCTCGTATGAGTCGCAGGTTCCAGCAGGTTCAGGAGTAAGCTGGTGCCATCACGTTTATAGTAGGGCAACTTTCTTTTGGGTTCTGCTCAGTGAGAGGTCTTATTTGTTTGCCTAAACGTCTGGTCCTCTTATCCCCCAGGAGCCCAACGCCGTGTTCCCTCTTCCTTGCCTTTGCTTTTGCTGTGCTCTTCCACCTCCTCTCATCCTTCCCCATTGGGGGCTTCAGTGCCTTTTGGATTCGAGCTGGCCCACCCTTCTGAGGACCACCCCATCCTGATCTCTTTCCGCCGCCTCGCAAGGCGGCAACGGGGCCCAGCGCTTGGCGGACAGTCGCTGGCGTCGTGGCTCAAAGAGATAGCGAATCTGCGCCGACACGCAAAACCAACATCCTGCTGGTGTTCCTCCTCACCTGCTCCCATTCGGCTCAGGAGCAAGTTGGTGCCATCACGTTTATAGTGGGGCCAATTCCGTGGGGGTTCTGCTAGGTGAGAAGGCCGACGACGACGACGATAACGACGACGGCCTGCTTGAACGCGGCGCCAGCGCAGGCCACGATGGCCGCAGGCATGGGAGGCGCCGCCGCCGCGCGCACCCGCTCGTCGCGGGCTCCCCCCGGCCCTCCAACGGCGTTTGCGGCGAGAGGGCGGTTGTCATATTTCAGGGGCCACCAGACGGCGTGGTGACCACACCGCGTGGTGAGTCAGTTTGGAGAATAGATGCAGTGTTGTTAAAACATCAACCGATGGATTGAATGAAAACGGTTTCAGCCAGAGGCGTTTCAAGAACATCTCGCGCAAACCAAACACGTTTTCATAACAGCCTACACGCGGGCGATAGGTAAACCAGCAAACCAGGACGCTTCGCCGCTGCTGGAGTCGCAACCGTGCGACGATTCTGACTCCCCACTGATAATGCAAATGTTGCGTTTTGTGCGGCGTTCTCGGATCGGCGTTGGGTTCCATGTCGGCGCCTCCGACACCGCCCTTGGCGCGCTCCGCGCGCTTAGGAGGGGTGCCCATCGCCGATCCGAGAAGTCCGCGCGGACCTCCGAGTGTGTACGTTTATGCCGTTGTTTGTTCCTTTACCACTGGGAAATCAGAGTCGCCACGCGGTTCTGGGTCCAGCAGCGGCGAAGCGTCTTGGCTTGCTTATCGGCCCACCGGAGAACTGTCTTAGAATATTTGGTAGTTTGCACGACATGTCCTCGGAGCACTTATGACTGAGACCGTCTTGGTTCAATCAATCGGCTTCATCCAGCAGCCTACGGCACGTCCCGCAACCCTGCCTGGGTCGTGGGTTATACAAGCCTAGTGGATGTTCGTTGGAATATCGTGGATGGCCTCGCGGTGGCCTCTTGGAGGCAACTTTGAAGCCTCTGGGGGGCTGTTTTGGAACCTCTTGGGGGCTTGGGGGCCTCTTAGGAGCCTCTGGGTCTCTTGTGCGCCTCTTGGGGCCCCTTTGGGCGGACGGCTCGGAATCTCGGTTCGTGTTCCCTCTCTGGGGCCCTTGTTGGGGCCGTCTTGGAGCCCTCTTGGAGCCCTCATGGAGGCCATTTTGGTGTTCTGTCACCTCCCGTGCGGCGGTGACAGAAGGGGGCGAATGGAGACAATGTTAGTTGGCCCTCGGGGGCGTCGCCACCGGCTGGACGCAGCACGGGGAGCTGGTGCGTTTGGACCCGGGAGGGGCCCCGAGACGGATCTTGAGTTGCCGTTGTCTTTCGCTTGCCCCCGCTTTGGGTAGGGATGGCTGGGCACGCGTGGTTGGCCGGGGGTCGCGCGTTGGGGGGGGGGCCCAAGTAAACAGGATCCGAGAGCCGTTTGTCTCGTACGCCGCGCCAGGGGCCGTGTCTCGTACGCCGCGCCGGGAGCCCCGCGGCTGGTCAACTCGCCTTGCTCCGATCAGAGAAAGAAGAGGTCATGTCATGATGATGTCTTGGCGGGCCCGGGAGCGGGATGAATCGCTCCAGAGCGTTCTGGAGTGTTCTCAGAGCATTCCGGAGCACTCTGGAACGGCCATGGCGCCCGATGCATCCTCCAGAGCCGCCAGATCTCAGAGATTCCCAGTTTGTCCTGGTCCGATTCTGTCCTGGTCCTGGTTTCATCTTCGATGCGCTCCGAGATTTCTCAGGTTTCCCTGCTGCTCCGCCCAAGATCAGCTACATCGTGCAGTGAGTCAGTAGGGATTCGGGGTGCCCGCACGGTCTTGGGACTTGGGGTCGCTCTCCGAGGACGTTTCGGGCGACTGGGGGCTCCAGAGTGCCAAGACGGTGCGGTGAGGGACCGTGCGGTGAGGTCTTTGGATTCCGAGGTCACTGCACGGTGTGTCGCCGCGCCGTTTTGGGATCCCCGAAGCAAGAAGGCATGATTCAAGGATATGCTCCAAGATTTGCCAAGATCTCCCTGCTGCCCCGCGCGGGCCCCATGGGGCTCCAGAGGACGAAGGGCGCCGGGTTGTCTGCAGCCCCTGAGCCAGCCGCATGGCGGCATCGGTCTTGTGTGAGACGAGGACGACGACGACAAGGTCCGGCCAGCGCGAAGTGATGGTCCCCTTCCGATTAGCGGGCGAATAACGGTACATAACAATTCCAGGCGCTTCGCGTAAAACCCACCAGGTCCTAACGGCGCGCGGCTCTTCCGCTTGCGCTCGCGAACAAAAAAGTAAATCCACCAGGTTACGACTCTTGGACGGCGTCCGGCGTCTCCCGGTGCGCTGGCGATCAAAAAAAGTAAACCCACCAGCCCATCCAGAGACGATGTCCAGACGCGTTGCCCTGATCAGGGATGTGGAGGAGCATGTAGTGGAATAAAAGGTTGGGCAAGACGTCATACCCTAAGGGGAGGAGGATGGCGGAGGAATCGGAGAGGAGCAGGAGGAGGAGGAGTACAGAGAGGGGAAGGAGGGAGGAGAAAGGATAATAAATAGGCGGCGGGAGGAGGGTTGGAAGAAGGGTTGGAAGAAGAAACGCCCTAATCTACTCAAGTCCAGAGGGCTGGTGGGAGTTGTCCCACGATTGGGGACGCCTGCCCCAGACCTGTTGGAAAGTTTCTA